GCATCCGGTGTTAATAAGTAAGGAATACGGTATATACAAATGAACAACACAATTGCTTAAGAATTCTACGGGTTTTTTCTCTTAGTTCTGATTATGTTACACACGATTGAGGCAAACACTGAACGATAGAAAACTCGAAACTGGAATAAGAAGAAGAAGGTCACGGGTCATGGCGTTCGGAGGCTTTCTCTGTGCTCTCCAAGTATTTTATCTCTTATATCTCTTCCATGGCTTGTCTACCGATGGAAACTACACACGGTGCCGAGAAACCACCCGTTTCAGATGTCTCACGTTTTTGAACTGTTCAAATTATTTCTCTGGCCAAGAATTTTTGAACAACGATGCCGACCACTTAACCGTGAAGAGAACGATTCGAAAAAGGAAACCCACTAGAACAGACTTCACCAAATCTAATCACAAGGTCACATTTCCTATTTGCTGGTTTGCGCTAACACTTATCCTACTATCAAACGATATACATCTTAATCCTGGACCAGCATCTCCTGAGCTTCCATTCAATTTCTCGGACTCGTTCTTCATTGACTCATCCTCCAATAATTTGCATAATCTACATAGTGATAATACTTCGACCTACTGTCACCTACAAGAATCCTTCGAACATCCTGATTTTTTTGATCTCCCAAAGCAAGGTATTCGACTTGTTAGCTGGAATGTTCAAAGTCTACCAAACAAACTCGATGAAATAAAATACATCCTTAGCGACAAACCAAACGAAATCGACATCTTGGGTCTCATCGAAAGTCATCTTTGTCCTGCTATTGATAACAATAGCTTACAATTAGACGGCTATGCAATTGAAAGGAAAGACAGAAATAACAAAAAAGGAGGCGGTCTATTGACTTACATTAACAATAGACTATTGTTCAAAAGAAGAGTCGATCTCGAAGATGAAAAACTAGAAATAATATGGCTAGAGATTAAAACTTCTACGCAAAGCCCAACAATCTTGACAGGATTTATATACCGTCCGACGTCCACCGATGTTCAAACCGATAAGTTACTCATGGAAAACATCAACCGTGCTGTCGCTGAAAACAGAGAAACATGGTTACTAGGAGACATCAACATCGACCTTCACAACCAACGGAACCTTGAACATAATTTTTACAAACACATGCTTTCACTTGGCTTCAATCAATTGATCTCTTCGCCAACTCGCATCCCATCTGAAACGTGTATAGATCATATTTATACCAACGAACCTTCAAACGTCCTATCTACTAAAGTACCTGATATCGGTCTCTCTGACCACCGCCCTGGTTGGCCGTCAGAAAACTTAATGGCAAACTCCGACAACTACCTGGCCATAAAACTATCGAATACAGATCCTTCAAACATTTCGACATGGAAAAGTACAAAGAGGATTTAAGAACTATCCCGTGGAACACTATGGACATGTTCGACAATTCGAATGATAAATGGGAAACGTTTTACAGTCTATTCATGGAGGTGGTGAATAGCCATGCACCAGTGAAAAAGAAAAGGGTAAAAACCAATCTACAACCAAAATGGTTCACTGATGACCTACGTAAATTGATAAAGGAACGAGACCATCTTCTTACTAAAGCCCGACATTATACAAAACACTCTACGGAATGGAAAGAGTATCAAAAGTTTCGCAACAAAGTCCGTCGCGAAATACGTAACGCTAAAAGGACTTTTTTCCAGGATACTCTGACAAAAAAGAAAGCTAATTCTAAAGATCTATGGGCGCATCTGAAAACCTTCAACCCGAAACAGTCAAACATTGGACCTATAACACTAGGCAAATCATCTGATAAGGAGATAGCAGACCTCTTTAACGAACATTTCACCTCACTTCAAAGTCCAAAGCATACAGCGGCAACTACCGACTTCCAAAGTCTACAAGAGTTTATCAACACAAGGAAGCCACCAGACACCTCACTACAATTCTCCTTGATCAATAAGAAATTTGTTGTTGACCAGATAAAGGGTATGCCTGACAAAAAAGGAACTGGAATAGACGAAATAAGTACTAAACTACTCAAAGCTTCACTACCTATCATTGCAGATCCACTAGTACACATTATTAACACCTCTATCAGCACAGGAGTATATCCATCTCAATTCAAGTTGGCCAAAGTATGCCCCATTCATAAAAAAGGGGACATCAATGATCCAGCCAATTATAGGCCAATAGCTGTTCTACCAGTCATTTCAAAAATCATTGAAAGACATTTACATAAGGAACTGGCAACTTATCTGGACGATTTTAGCCTACTAAACGATAACCAATCAGGATTCACGACCAAGCACTCCTGCGAGACGCTGCTTATAAGACTTACAGACTCCTTCCTTGAAAACATGGACAAAGGTTACATAAACACAGCAGTTATGATTGACCTGAGCAAGGCCTTTGATATGGTAAGCCACCATTTTCTTCTAAAAAAACTCGAGTGTTACAACCTAAAAGATACTTCAATGAATCTTGTACGATCATTCCTTGATGAAAGAAAACAGATAGTGGTTTTCAGAGGCAAGCGCTCAAAAGAACGCAGTTCTCAACCCATAGGTATTCCACAAGGGTCCATCCTCAGTCCATTATTATTTTCAATTTACATGAATGATCTGGTACTTTATATCGACAACAGCAAAATTGATTTGTACGCAGATGACATCACACTCTACACAGCAAATAAACAACCTAATGAAATTATGTCATCCCTGAACACCGACCTACAGCCATTGTCAAACTGGACCAAAGGAAATCGCTTAGTCATCAACAAAGATAAATCAAAAATGATGACAATCTGTACAAGACCAAGGAATAAAATTTGTGACGAAATCTCCTTAACCATCGACTCATCAGAGATAAACAGAGTGAACTGTCACAAGTTGCTGGGTCTATATATCGACAGAAATCTCACCTGGAAACAGCACATTAGTCATATCATTAAGAAAATAAACACTAGACTGTCTCTACTAAGACGCATCAAATGTTTTTTACCTCATTTCGCACGTATGCTTTTCTATAACAGTATGATTCAACCAATCATCGACTACGGTCTTACAATCTACAGTACTTGTGCTAAAGAAGACCTTAAGCGTATTCATAAAGTACAAAAAAGAGCGGGTCGTACCATACTAGATATCCGTAAAGCACGTGACATAGGTACAGTTGAGCTCTTCCAAAAACTTGACTGGCTCCCAGTAGATGAACAGGCAAAGCTCCTCACTGGAACACTCATGTATAAATGCATGAACAACCTGGCTCCATCATATTTGTCTAATAAGTTTACCAATAACAGCAAACGCCGAACAAGACAATCGTTGAAAGGAAACATAACAATCCCACTGTTCAAAGGGACATCAACTGGACAAAGAACTTTTCATGGTACAAGCATCTGGAATGGACTGACTAAAGAAGTTAAAGAAAGCCCCACAGTTGAACACTTCAAAAAACGTTATTTAAATAACATTTATTTCGATATTTACAACCAAAGTTTTAGCCTGGACTCTTAATAATTAATTGATACCTTTTTATTTTACCTGCACCTGACTGCGAGAGAGCCATCACGCGGAGGGGCGGGCATTGGTGGTTTGGTGGGGGGGGGAAATTGGTTGAGGGACAGAAGAAAAAGTTCTATGTTGTTCTTTTGTCCTTTGATCTGTCCCTGTCCGGCTGAATTCCTGATGCTCTGTTTTCGTGTGGCGGCTCTCTTACAAATATACACTCTCATATTTTTGATTTTGTTTTTAGAACTTTC